TTTGTGCCACACCCTGGTTGCAGGAGTCAACGTTCTCATTCTCGTTCTCGTTCATGATTCAGAGAAAACAACTTGGATAAGTGGTTTGCTGTGAGAAGCTTGTTTGCATTGTCTAGGTTTGTAGTAATTGCTGCCAGAGAGATTATCTATTTGTTTATTTTGGGCTTGCAGCCAACAAGACTGATTAAAACATTCTTTTGTGCGTCTGTTTTGTCTTTCGTTCCTAGACGGAGAAGGGGGGGGGGTCAGAACAGTAAACCATACTAGGGACAATTTAACAACAATCCATTATAGAACTTCTAATATGCTGATCTTGTTCATTGTTTTAAACATGTAAGTGACCTAGTTTACTGTAGACACTATAAAAATCTCCCCTGAGCGCATACTCAGCAAACCAGTTGTTACACTGGTTGAATCCCACCACTGGCTTTACATTATCAGCATAAATGTAATTCTATAAAGAAACACAGCCACAAACAAAATTAAATGCAATATTTAAGTACTTTGGCAAGAGCAGGAATCTATAGTTCCAGATCTTGATTCACTTACATTCCCATCAGTTCCAGTTAATCATGGCCAATTGTGAAGGTAGTTTAGAATTGTTGTCCAATAACAAATGGAGAGTGGTGGAATTTTCCAGCTTTCCGTTATGGGTTAGTAACTATTTCTTTCCAGAGTACAATCAAATATATATTTCTATTTAGTCAACCATATCTTACCTTTGTAGTTATGCTGGGATCATGAACTACAGGTTTTTGTTCTCTTTGTGTACTTGAGCCTTCATTTCTCTTCAGAAGCTTTACATTACTCTTACTTACACCTGCAAAATTCTGCAATTTAATAGAATTTTTTTCATTAAATTGGTTCTTATATATGAACATATTGCAAAATAATTCCTCTAAAAACAACTACCAATATTTTAAAATGAAGCACAAGCTGTAGAATTCTATAATGACTCATCTACAAGTTATATGTAGGAGGAGGGTAAATGGTTCAAAAATGGTTTTCCAAATTGACTGCTTGAAGTAACTTTTAGGTATTCACATGCATACTGAAATGACATAGGAAGGTCTCAGAGTAGCCTCAGTGAGCTTTCAAGAGGACATTGCACTTCAAAACTTTAGCAGCAGGTTTAGAGGGATATTTCACTTGCTTCCTGCTCTCACATAAAAGGCCCCTTGTTTTGCGGTCTTACTATATAGTGTTTGGGATCCCTCTTCATATTTCTATAGGGTCCAGTAGTCAAATTGAAGACAAATGGTTCTTAACCTGTAACCTGGTGATTGGTCTTGGAGTAAATGACAAAGTAATTTCTAAATTATTTAAGAATAACTATAATTTCAAAAGTTACTGACATTCTCTTGCAAAGGTAATGGGTGTAATATTAAAATCCTGTGAAATTGTAATATTTTCATATTCCAATCATTTCATGAAAAAAAATCATTCAGGAGTCCTCCATGTGCCATTTTGGGGGACAGAAATTATGTTAGAGTGTGAATAAAGGAAAATACTGGAATAACTATTGTAAGCCATTTAAAAGCAATATTATATTGTTCATCAGAAATCTGCTTAATAAAATTCTGAACTGACTTCCATAAAAGACCTGTAAGAAAAGTAAAATAAATAAATAAATAATAAAAGTACAACTATGAGTAGCCATATGCAAGCAGAAAGAGAACAATTACCAGTTTGTTTGATATTTTTTGTGTTTGACCTTCATTTCTTGGCTCTTTAGAATCTTCTTTGGCTGCAATTAAAACATTCAGTTTAATGCAATGAAACCAGTTTAATACAATGAAAAACCAAATTTCTATATGTGTCTACTAAAAAAAAATCCATTAATTGTAGTAGGATTTATTGTTAAGTAAAACAGTGAGCTTTCTTTACACAACTCAGTATATTTTTCCTCGCTTCCTTCATGGTTTATCTATTCAGATACTGTACTATTATAAAATAGATAGAATCAGGATATAAAACTGCAGTGGAAAACTTGTGTTTATGGGAGAATTTTGAAAAATTTTGAAAAATTAAGATCCACAGCCATGGTCTATGGACCTAAAATTCTTTTAGCACATGATTCAGTGATACTCATTGAAGTCAGCTGTTTTCAAAACAGGATTCTTATATTTAAAGTTAAATGTTAACAAAATATTTAAAGTAAATTAAAGAATTTGAACTCTACAGTACTTACATTTCCTAGATGAGTCCTGGGCTTTTTGCTGGCTTTTAAAGCTATTCTCGTTGAAACCTGGTTTGCAGGACCTATTACTGGCACCAAATTTTATATATGGAGGTAAAAAATCTTCAACCTAGAAAATCAAGTTTTGCAGGAGTAACATTTTACGTAGATCATTTACTTTAGAATACATAAAACGTGAGAGGGTAATCTATGGTGTGTAGAGGAACACCCCCCACCCCCAATTTCCTAAATTCAGTGCAAAGCACACTGTCAAATTGGAGTCAGTTTCTAGCTGTTTGAAAGAAATAAAGACATTGAATAAATAAAGAAGTTTTCAAAAAGTTGAAAAATAAATATTTAGGAAATACATATTAGATGTATATAACAAGACTGTCAGAAATATTCAGTCTCTGAACTGTATTTTTTAGATGTGTACAAATTATCATACAATATATTTAATTTTACATCCTAGCAAGTTGTTTAGAATTATCAACATAGATTAGAGTTTTCATGGCAAGTGAAATATTCAAGCTGGCCATAGAAAAGGCTGAAGAACATGATACTATTGCTGCAAACGGAGACAGTCAAAAATACCAAAAAAACCTTAGTATTTGCTTCGTTGGTTATAGAAAGGCCTTTGATTTTGTTGTTCATATCAAGCTTTTAGACTGCTTATAAAAGTGAAAATCCCAGAACATCTTTGTCCTCAGTGTAAAACCAATACACAGACTTGGAAGCCACTACCCAGATGGAATATGGTAAAACTGATTGGCTTCAATTTGGCAAATGAATGAGACAAAGGTACATGTAGACCTTGACCTTCCCTCAAAACATTTATCTGAATTTGATCATCAATGTGCAGTATGGGTACAAATGCCCCTTTTTTTGACATATACTAACCATTTCATCCTTATTTTGTATGGAAGGCTGAGACTTTCCAGGGTTCTGCAATGATTGCCAAATGTTGCAAAATTCATCATCTTTTTTATTGTGAGCTTGCTAGGAAAGAAAAATAAAACAAATAAAATGGAAACTCTGCCATGTTTCCATTATTACAAGAACTAGCCATGTTTTAAGTTTCACAAATATATCTTGGTTACTTCAGTGAATAAAGCAGCCATTCACATTTAAAATAATAGAAGAAGTGAACACATGTTATATTTGCATGAACAGTTGCCCCATAATGGAGTATTACTATATTGTATTGCAGAGACAGTATTTCTAAATTCTACACCAAAGTTTTTTTTTTTACATTTTTACATTTCCCCCCCATTTCCAACACATAGTCATGTCCCATGGTTCGATCCACAATATCAATCCTCTCCTCTTTTATACAGAAACTCTCAGAAGCTTTCATGAATTTCTCATTTGTGCTTTTTCAACTCTGTTCAGTACCATATAGTACAATATCCCAATTGTTTTCCATCTCCCATTATTTCTAAAAGTAAACTGGTTCACAGTAGCTATTACTACCACTGTCGCTATTTAATCCTAGACTTTTGAGAATGGGATCTTTTTAATTTAAAAAAAAAAATCAAAACTCTGCTCTGATTCTGAGCCGCCATGACATTATCAATTACTCAATGGGTAATAAATTGGAAATTTCCTAGTCTACCCTATTCCATTTTTACGAATATATAGCGACTCAATTGAGGTATATTTGAAGTAGACTCACCGAAATAAATGGAAGAAAAATTAAATTTGATCTATCCTCTTTTATCTTAGATTGTCAAAATGTCACTTACTACAGCAGTGCAGGGTGAACAAGAATCAAGCTATATTGTAGAATTGATTTTATGGGGATACCATAAAAACTGGGTTTAATTCAACTGATTAATAAATAAAATAAGATTACGTTTTCATTGGAATATTATCAAAATGTAGACAATTTTATGTATAACTCAGACCAATTCAGTACTTCTAAACATAAAAGTGTGCCTTGGGGAGATAGGCAGCATTATATATTTGTTAAATAAAAATATTTACATAAAAACATTTCTTCACATGTGTTGTAAAGAAATGTGTTTATGTAAAATAGTTTGTGCTTTTCTTGAAATTGCAATTTGATACATTATGGAATATGTGTCCAATTTATTGTCTTTGCTTGGTATTATTTATTGTTTCATTTGCATTACTTTAGCTAAAGATTATATTATTTAAAAATTGATTTTTAATGAATTATGTATCTTAAGAGTATTGAAAAATACAAATGTACAAAATAATATATAATATTTTTTCAATAAAAGCCAAGTTATAAACAAACCCTAAACCGACTTCCTACAGAATCCAAAACCATTTACTCTAAGGTAGCAGGTAAAACAACTTACTTTATATTTCTGATGGCTACTTGTATAGGTTACTTTCTGCTGAGAACTGGAATTGCCCTGCTTTTCTGCTTTGATACTATTATGCTGTCTTCCATTCAATTGCTGGATAATAAAGAAAAACATTACTTTCCAATTTTTCTATTTATTTAAAATATTATACACTCAGCTATTTTTTTCACACACAGTATTACAAATTATCAGGCCCACAATGTATACTCAACAATTTTAACAATAATTGTTATGGGACATTATCTATTTTCTTTCTTTAGATATTATGGAACAGAATCTCAAACAAATGTAAAAATCGACTTCTATGATATATACACAATAACTGAAGTGCTCAAGGCACATCTAGATCAGCAGTTCAGCGGTTCAAATCTCACCGGCTCAGGGTTGACTCAGCCTTCCATCCTTCCGAGGTGGGTAAAATGAGGACCCAGATTGTTGG